ATGGCTAATTTACCATGACCAGGCATTTAGGAGCAAGCCCCAGCATCCTTTTTCCTGGGAAAAGGGGGAATCCCCTGGCTGCACTCACTTGTAGTCGCTCTTGAGCGTGGCAGCCTTGCGCCAGGTGCCGTACAGATCGTCCAGCTTGCGGAAGGCGCTCTCTGTCCAGATGCAGAAACGCCCCACATGGCCGCCGGGAGCGAGGCGCAGCAGGTTCAGCTTGTTCACGTTCAGCAGAGTGATTCCTGAAGGAAACCAGGCAAAGCAATCCCTTCAGTTTGTAATTTAAGTGAGGCTCAGCAGTAGACAAAATGAAGAAAGAGATTTGGGGGTTTTAGCTTTGACACTGTAGAGCTACACACACCTCTGCACGAACATCTACTGCATTTTAAGTTAACAATAATAAGCCTTTTTCCAGCAGCAAACTTACCAGCCTCATTTTTAACTGCCCCAAACAATTTCAGGGTTGGGAACAGCTGCAACATTTGTCACAATCACCCCAACAGGCTTTTACAAAGATCAACTACTGCAGCCCATCAGAACTTCCACACAATCATGTGTTTCAGAAACACGGACCAATGAAGTGGAACCTCATCATAGCAGGCAGTCTCCCAGCAGCAGAGTGAGCGTGTCCCAGGTTAACTACCTGGGATATTCCGGAAAGCTCTGATGATGCCGTTGTCCTCGTTGTAGATGATGCAGGGTCCCCTGCGCTGGATGCGGCGGCGATTCCTCATCTTGCCCTTCCCGGCCCGCATGCGCTGGGAGGCGTAAACCTAGGAAAAGCAGGAACTGAGCATCCCAAAAAAGCCCACAGCCTTCCAGCCAGACCCACTGCACTGCTTCAGTCAGAACTTCACCATCGTCACTGCGGATCAGCAACACGGACCGGTGAAAAGTTCATCACTCTCCAGAGTCAAAATACAGAACTGTTTGGAATTCCTACTCTAGTAACTGCACAGCAGAATCACCTGTGTTCTGCCCTTCATATCACACCTTCCAGCTCACCTTTTTGATGTCATTCCAAGCTTTAAGCTTCTTCAGGAGAAGAACAGCTTCCTTGGTTTTCTTGTAGCCCTCAACCTTGTCCTCAACAACCAGAGGAAGTTCTGGAATCTCCTCGATGCGGTGGCCTAGACAGGATTTCACAAGACACTCAGTGTTGCTCACTAACCTTGGCTGGACCCATTCCTCAAAGTTACTGTTTTGTATATTCAGAAATGATGCATGATACATTAAATTCATGGTAAAAATTCATGAAATGAAGTCAGGCACAGTAACCAGAACAGTGAAGTTCCAGTGGTCTTACAGGTCCCACACACGACTTTGTGTACCAGAGTGTTGAGTAAATCTTTGCCTCCATGAACAGAAATCAAACCACACCACAGACTCCATTTCAGCCACCACAAAGTACCCAATGCTGGCTGAGACAAACAATTCCAGAGGCAAAATTCTCACCTTTAGACATGACCAGAGCTGGCAGGGCAGAGGCAGCCAGAGCAGAGCAGATGGCATAACGCTTCTGCATGATGTTCACTCTGCGGTGCCAGCGCCGCCAGGTCTTGGTCGGGGCGAACATGCGGCCGCCACGACACATCTGGGAGCTGCAGTTAAGAACAACTTTTTGGAGCTTTCTTATCCCAAAGGGACTTCTTTATTGCTTGCTCAGCATTAATGGGTCGTCAACCACCTGTGCCAGGACTCTGACAGCAGGCAACTGTCCCTGGGCACAGGGTAAGGCGCAAATTACGACATCACGGCAAGACAGAACGGATTATGTGGTTCAAGAGTGGGAATCACATCAAGTCTGAGCTGCAGCCATTACCTCAAGAGAAATATTCCATCTCATACTTAGATAATTAAAAATGTTTCTGCTGGCTGAGTTCAGTGCCCCCAAAGCCAGCACAGCCATGGAAGGATACATTGCCAAAGGCACCCTGGCCAGAGCGGTGAGTGCCACCACCCCGGACGCGCGGGATTCGAGCAACGGCTCTCCCAGTGCCCCATGACTCGGCACTGGTCTGGTGACCTGCAACAGAGAGAGACACGATGGTCATTCAGAGTGACATCACTGCCACAGGGATGCTGAACTCAGGGCACTGATCAGAACTTCCACACAATCATGTGTTTCAGAAACACGGACCAATGAAGTGGAACCTCATCATTTCAGCATAACAAATACGATCAAGAAAACTTAATCCTAGTCTATTACTGTACTTGATTCTGACCTAAGATCTTTAAGACATTTATTTTAAACTTGATCCTCAATCTGGAGATCCGACTTGGCACTGCTATACCTAGCAAGTTAATTGTGTGAAACCTAGAAATAAGGTTAAAATGGCATGTTCCCAGCACGGACTTCTTGGGGAGCAGACGTTATCTGCACAAACAGAAGCAAATCTACCAAATGCCTGTTAGCAGGAGTTTTTCCTTGGTGACTGCCTCAGGCAAGTCTCACGACGTCAATGTAGAGCAGGGATTTTCACATGTAACACTTTCAGCCATTTTATGTTTTTACTGCAAAGAATGATGATTCCACTTGAGGACCTTGGCACTGTGATACTTCCAGGAACAAGCACTTCAAACAAGAGCACAGAGTATCCCAAAACACCACCTCGATGCTCCTCAGAATAATAAATTAACTGCTGCATTTCAAACCACACTATTAACAACTGCCCTTGCGTTCTACACAGAACCCCATGGATAAGCACTTTTCCAAACTCCATCTTTATTTCCATGTGAACCCCCCCTGAAGTGCAGCCCTGATGCCTTGTGAAGGCTGACCTAGACAGTTACAGAATAAAGCAGGGATTTATTAAAAGGCCTCAATGGATGCACCTTGGGCAGCACAAGAGCCCAGCCAGGGCTACACCTGACATCAACCAAAATGGTCACAAATGCACGACTGGTCATGGGGTCTCTCACTTTGGTAAGTTCTGCTCTATCCAATTAAACCTTTATGTTATGAAGCCCCTTCTTGTTTTTCTCTCTTCAGCCCACATTGTGCTCTTGGGCCTGCAATTTGGATCACTGTCCTTGGCCCCCAGCTGGAGAAGGAATTGTTTTGCCTCCCTACTCTGCGCAGAGAGCTCACCACCCCCTAACACAAATCTCAGGCTGAAGCAGTGCAGACCCTGAGCAGCAGCAAATCGCGGTGCTGAGCAGTAACCACGGCACACCTGCGAGCTCGCTGACGGCGTAGGGCTGCCGGTTGTTCTTGCGCAGGTTGGTGTGCACGAAGTTCACCACGTCGGGCCGGATGGGCGCCTTGAACACCGCGGGCAGCGTCACGTTCTTGCCCGACGCCTCCCCCTTCTCGGAGTACACGGAGATCAGCGGCCGAGCGCAAGCCTGGGGAAGCACAAACCCTTAAGTACAAGTGAAGTGAGTGTGTGAATCGTTCAGTGTTTAACTCTGAGTATTGCTCAGAACCAAGGAGTCGTCAGCTCAGCAGTGCCAGCATGATGACAGCAGGCAACTGTCGCTGAGCACTGGATAAGACTCAAATTACGTCATCACAGCAATGTTGTACTTGAAGTTATGATCCTCAGCTCACCTGCAGAAAACTACACCTGCATTTCTGCTCCACAGCTCACCTGCAGAAAACTACACCTGCATTTCCAAGGCATTTGTACAACTCAGCCTCTGGGCTCTGTAACAAGCCCCTTCAAAAACTACTTCCCAGCTACTATTAAAAAAACCCACCTGTCTTAACCAAATACTTATAATTTCATTAGGAAATGTTGTACCAGCTCATCAAACAGTCAGAGGACAGTGAACAACCTCTGGTGCTCTAAAATTTGTGCACTGGAAAATTAAGTGCTCTCAAGCACCAGCTGCCTGTCATAAGGCTGAAAGGGTGCCCAAAACTAGCCACAGGATGAACAATTAAAAACAATTTTTTAGCATTATATGTTTCGGTTGCTAATTAATCTGGTGGTAACAGTACAAGCAAAGCATTTTGCTTGCCCTGTCTGCAGTTAATTTTAGAAGCATTAAAATACTCCAGCACTCCAAACTAAGTAGCTAACAGCAAAGGAAGGGCCATCTCTGCAGGTGACACTGGTCACGAGCAAGGCTCTGGCCCTGATGTTAACCCAGAGACCCCAACACAAGCAACAAACTTGATTGGGATGAAAACATCAGAGCACAATTTGAGCTGTACTGGCAAAAGTTCTTCACCTGCAACCTGATTCTAGACCAAGGCCTCTTAAAACCTGTTCTGCAACAAAAATAGGTTAGAAAAGAGATATATATAATCCGTTTTTCCCACTCAAGATGGGCCTGTTTCGCTTTAGATAAATACATGGAAAAACTATAAAGCGCTGCCAGATGGCGATGGGGACCTATCCCATCCCTTCCCATGCCCATGGAAAGAAGAACTTCGGGCGCACCACGCCGAGTTCCCCCCCGCGGCCTGCCCGGCCCGGCCCCGCTCGGTCTCTCACGGGCTCCACGCGGCCGCCGAGCACTGACGGGCCCAAAATGGCGGCCGCGCGCCCCACGCCGCCAGCGCGGCCCCCGAGCTGCCCGCGGCTCGGTCCTGCCCGCTGGGCCCGGCTCCCCCGGGCCGGCCCTGCTGCCCGCGGCGCTCCCCGCCGCTGCCCCGCCGCCCCGGGCCGGGCCCGGCGCTCCCCTCACCATGGCGGCGGAGCTGCTCCTGCGGCCGCCCGCCCGCGCCGCGCCCCGACCGGAAAAGGAAGGACGCCTCACCCGCCCGTCACTACGTCCATGTCCCTCCGCTCCTTCACAGCCGCTTCTGCCGCGCCGGCCGGTCAACACCACACACCCAGTCCCAGCTCCGGACCGAGCTCCAGCCCCGGTCCCGATCCCTGTCCAAGTCTCTTGGGCCCCGTCACGCCCATCCTGAGTTCTCCGGGCGCCTTTTTCCCGCTCGGTTCCCAGCCAAAGCAGGGGACTCTGTTCCGGCGGAGGGATCCAGCGTGGCGCGTCACCCTGCCCTCACGGGCGTCGCGTAGCGCCGGCGGGCGGGAGCTTCGAGCCTGGAGGGCGGCGATGGCGGCGGAGCGGCGGCGCCGGGCGGGCGGCGGCCTGGGCGGGCTCCTGCTCCGGTGGGGATCGGGGCTGTTCCCGGGGCTGTCCGGGCTCCTGCTCCGGTGGGGATCGGGGCTGTTCCCGGGGCTGAGCGGGCTCCTGCTCCGGTGCGGATCGGGGCTGAGCGGGCTCCTGCTCCGGTGCGGATCGGGGCTGAGCGGGCTCCTGCTCCGGTGCGGATCGGGGCTGTCCGGGCTCCTGCTCCGGTGTGGTTTCGGGGTCACTGCCTGGGGGTCTCGCCGCTCTGCTGAGCGAAGTCTGGCCCCGCTTGTGCGGAGGCTGCTGAGGTTCCGCTTGTAGCCTTGGTGTGTTAATGCATGTGGGTAATGCTGCTGTTTAACGAGGAATGCTGTGGGGAAAAGTTGTGTATCTCAACGTTTTATTTTCTTTCAGGATACGTGAAGAAGGAAAGGACAGTATCCCCGAACATCCCTATCTCTATGAGGTAAAATCATAGATTAGTTTGGGTTGGAAGGGAACTTGAAGGTCATCCCATTCCCCTCCGGCCATGGCAGGGACACCTTCCACCATCCTGGGCTGCTCCCAGCCCTGTCCAGCCTGGCCTTGGACACTTCCAGTGATCCAGGAGCAGCCACAGCTTCTCTGGGAAACTGTGCGAGGCCCTCCCCACCCTCACAGGAAGGATTTCTTCCAAATTTCCAGCCTACACCTACTCTGTCAGTGGGAAGCCATTCCATCTTGTCCTGTCTCTCCATCTTTCCTTTCAGGCACTGCAGAAATGCTGCAAGTGGGTTGTGAATGGATGCAATAGGATTAGAAAACAATCTGTGTGACTATTTAATTTTGCAAATTCTGATATTAAAAAACTGCTGAAATGCAGTGTCTCTATACAGTGTATTAAAATGTTTTGATTTTTTTTTTTTTTTTTTTTGCAGACTGACGTAGAGATCTCACTGGTTGCTGGTAGTTACAAAAGTCCTGTTGAAAAATTTTGGAATGGAAGCAGTGCAATGTACATTTTGCAGAAAGCCGTAAGTATGCATGGTAGATATTAAATGTAATACAGAGTTTTGAATTTCCAACAGGTTGCTTTCACACACCTTGCAGTTTGTGACTTACGTGCATGTTTCTTTTCAAGACACACAACGAAGAAAGTGACTCCTTGGAGGAATCAAGAGCAGATGATGCTGTTTATGCCTCTGAGGTTTTGCCAAAGCAGAATCCTGGGGCACTGGCTCTTTCTGTTGGAAGAGCAAAGTAAGTGTGAAAGCTTTCCCTCCACTTTTAAGGGTGTTTTCTTTTGTAATTCTATGTCTTTTTCTAATATTCAGAACCTGTATTTTCAATCCCCTGGAGTAAAATTACTCATTACTTTATGAGGAGTTGTGGCTGTTTTCCATCCTGAAAAAGGGCCTCCCTACTTTTAATGCCTAAAAGTGTTTTAAGAAGTAGCTAAAATCCAGATATTGGAAAAGCACTGTGAGCTGGGCTGTTGGGTTAATGGGATTCACTGGGTGTAGATGAGCAAAAAAAGCTCAGTAAGACTTCAGTGCTTTTTTTTTTTTTGGTGAAAGCTCCTATTAAGAAAAGCCCTAAAAAACTGATTTGCATCTTTGGTGTTATTAAAATACTAATGCATGGTACCAAAACGTGGTTTACCTAACTAATGTATTCTCTTAATTAGCTTAAAATGTAATATTTAATTATAATTTTAGAATCTTCAGTCTACACAATTAATATATTTGTTGTTATCTTGCTTTCTCCCTGTTCTAGGCAGTTGATTTCCTTGTACACAATGGTGCAAAACCCAAACATGACCTCCCTGGGGACGAGTGACCCGGTTGTGCTTCCTCCCCTCTGGGCCAGGTGTGATGGTTCTGATCCTCAGCACACCTGCTGGATTGGAGCTGAGCCTCTCAAGGCTGGAAACAAAGTCACAGGGCTCAATATTTACCTGGTTTCATGTGATGGTAAGGTGGTCATGGTGCACAGAAAATTAAATGAGAAAGGCTAAAAAATGTGGGAATGCTGATGCCACAATGCTGTCTTTGTTCTTAGCATGATACGGCTTGGAAATGCTCTGTATTCCTGGTTTTAATGAGCAAGAAGGGATTAAAATAAAAGAAAAGATATTTTTAACCAATCCTATGAGGGGGAAATGGCTTTTTAATCTACTTGATGCACCTGTAGCTGTGCAGGCCCACCTCAACTCATTTTTAAATTTTGAAACTGCTGCCATTCAGCATCTTACACAATCTCTGACTCATTCTAAACATTTATATATGTTCATATCAGCTGTTATCACCTATATGGGAAATACAAGGAAAATTCCTGCTTTCTAAAGGACACCACGAGTCATGCTTCACCAAATGGAGTATTTGGGAATGAATTTAAATTCCAAATTTGAATTGTGTCAAATGGGTTTTTTGATTCTCACTTTTTTCCTTTCCTAGGTCCTACAGCTGATAAAACCTGTTTTCCAAAACTGGAAGAGCTCAAAATGGAACATAAAATAAGACATCATTCCTCTGTTGTAGGTTTTTATGTTCTGTCATGGCTTCAGTTGAAGTTTAAGAATTATTTTGGAATTTATGATGCTGGTTTGGGGAAGCTTTTTAGATTCTCTATGGAAGCCACTTCAGTATAATTCCATAGTATAACAGCCTGACTTCAGGTCGTGTTTATAATGCATTTGTCTGGTATTAACTATTTTTTGCATGTTTGTGAAATGCTTTTAAAATGACTTTGCCTGTGGTAGCTTCGTTGTTTTTATTTTTGAAATCTGTTCATTGTAGGTGACAACAAAAGGATTTGCTCAGTATGAGCTGGTTGGAGCTGCTGCAATAGAGGACACCATTGCAGAATCTGGAAGCAGCATCTCTGTGGATATCACATGGAATGGTGTGGAAAAGATTCTGGAGACTCCCCCACTGATCTCTGCTGCCACCCTGGTAAATCAGGATGGAAAAAGCAAATAAACCCAAGCTCTTGGCACAATTCACATCATGGGTAGGATAAAGAATAAAGTAGTATAAAGAAGATAAAAGCAATGTAACTTATTCATAAGTTGAATTGTAAGTTGTGCTGACGTGCTTCTCACTGATGAAAATTTTAAGATACTTGATTTATAAAGTTTGAAACTGAGATAAACCTGTGGAACTTTCAGAATATTGCCCTGGAGTCAGGGGACCCCAGAAGTCCTGTGTTCCAGCTGTACCGAGAGCTGCAGTTCCTCTTGGTGAGTGCAGGGGACAAATTCCAGTTTCACACTTGCATGGAGTGGGGATTTTATGTGCTAATAATTTGCTTTATTGAAAACTTTATCAGACCTTTCAAAGATAACTTCAAGCATTTATTTTAGCTGAAACTCTGAGTTCAGTTTTAGAAATTTTGAATAGAAAGAGGACAAGTCATCCAGGAAATTCTGAGAATTTGTAACTCCTGGTTAGCTGTGGAGGGATTTGTGATTCTTGGTGAAGTTGTCTGTGAAAGATGACACATGCAGGACCCCCAAGAAGAACTGATTTCTGTTATGATTTTCCTGCTGCTTTTAGGTTTTGGCTGAAGGTCTGAAAACAGATGTGACTGAGTGGCCTGAGCCATCAGAGTCTGAATCAGCTCTTAAACTGGTCCAAGAATTTCTGACTGGTAATTGCTGCTTGTTCCATGGGGAGGGAGGGGTGTGGCACTTCACAGGAATAAAAGGGAATAAAGCATTAGAACTGGGAATGCTCATTTCTGTGCTGTAACCACTGCACAGAGTAGTTAAATAGGTTAATACACATTTGTCATTTTTCTTTGTCCTAATATCATAGATCAAAGTAATAATAATAATAAAAAATATTTTTTAAAGTCTTTTCAGACTATATCCTTACCCAATAAAACCATTTGTAAACAACTCAGTTCTGTTATTCAGTGTATTAGTTATAATGTGCCTGGGGATTAATGTTTGGTTTGATGACGCTTTTCATAGTGGTGGAACTTTTTTTTTTTTAACTCTACTAGATTTAAAGAAGAAGCTGGATGGAGATTATATATTTGAAAACAAGAATGAAACAGAGGTGTGTGCAATTTCCTAACAGCTGCTTTGTTATTTTGCTTCCATTTTAACTGCAGTTATTTCAGATTTTGACTAAATATTTTATATTGTTTATATCTGTAAATAGTGCTGTTAAGGAATATGATCTCTTGCTTCCTGTCTCTGCTGTGTAAAAATAATGGGAGAAGGTCTCTTTTCTTCCAGGAATTCTGACCTTTGTGCCGTTGCATTCTATCATTAATTTGCTTTTCTTGCCTAATTTAGTTACTTGGGGCAAATTTAATAGTATCAGTTGAATATGTCTAGAGGTTTATGATATTGTGAAGCAATGGGCAAATTTGAATTATAAAAAATGTATTTAGTTATATTAAGATTTTTTTTCCCCTCTCAGCCTACAAGGAAATGTTTAGGTCTATTTTGTGTTAAGAGAGAAGCAGCATTTTGCTGATAATCTGAGAATATATTAATTTCTATGTCAACAGAACTATTCTGTATCAGAATTACAGTAACTGTTCTGTATCAGGATTACACATGACATTGTTGTGTCTGGATTTTGTGCACCAGGGCACTGCTGGGTGCACAGACAATACCTGGCTGATATCTGAAGTCTCTCTGACAGTGGCTTTTATTTCCTGGTCCGAGGCTAGCGGTTATCCAGTGTGATAATTCTGCAAAGAATCACACTCACTTAAATAAAAGTATATTTCCAAATTATTGTCTGGTAGTTTCCCTGGAAAAGGAGCAAAATCAGTGATGCAGCCAGTTTTGATCTCTGGAGAAATTCAGATGTGGAAAGTTTTTTACTTTCAGGCACAATTTTTCATTGAAGACTCATTTTCTTGCAGAAAATCAAAAGTGACACAGCTGCTGTGGACAGTTGCATAAAAGCAATCTTTGGTGAGCGAGGAGACCTGGATTTTACTGAGCAATTATGGTGCAAAATGAAAAGTAAGTGTATTGTGCCCTGTTTTCCTTTCATTTTCTCCTCTATCTGCTAGACAGTATTGCTTTTTCAGGGAAGTTCCTGTTCATTTCTGAGTTTTAAGGACTCATCAGCCCTTCAGAAATTGCTATCAGCAATACCAATTGCTCTCTTCCTAAGAGAGCCTATTTTAAGGATGTAGGGTGGTCTGTTTTCTTACAACCTTCCAATGGCAGACCAGCACCTAGCAGGAGATAATTTCATTTTATTTGACTGCAAAAGTTGCTAAACCATTGGTAGTTGCTTTAAAGCTTGAAACTATCTGCCCTAAACCTGAAAACTTAATAATTCCTTTTTCTCCAGACATGAAGGACAATTTTCAGTGTATGTAGAGTTCAGTGGTCTCTGTTGATCATTGATTTTTAAAGTCATCATATGACAAAGCTGCCAAAAAACTTTGCAGTCTGTAATTTCAGCTCCCATTCTTTAATTGAGGGGTTTTGTTCTTGCAAGGGTGTGTTGGCCTGGTGTTATTGACTTAACAGCCAGAGAAAGAGCCTGGACTGATAAGGAAAATATTGTGGTTTTCTTTCTAGCTGTCAGTTCCCATCAGGAGTTAATAGACTGTTTCACACTGGTCATAAAATCTCTGGAACGTGGTGAGATACAGCCATGGGTATGTATTTGTATTTCACAATAGATGTTAAAATTTGAAATAGTTCCAAGTAAAAGGCAGTTCTCGTCCCTTCACTGCTCCTCATTTGTGTTGTTTTTAAATTGTGTGTTTCCCTGGTGCTGAACCTCTGAACAATGTTGATGATGTTTCATGCACATCACAAAAAGACTTGTTTATTTTTAGATTCATCAGGGGAGTAGCAGTTTCTTAAGTCAATTGATCCAGCAGTCCTACCATGGAAAGATGGAGGATGTTTCCCTCAGTGACATCACTCCCATTCAGATGCTCCTGGAGCTTGGCTTGGAGAAGCTGAAGAAGGATTATGTCAGTTTTTTCATAGGTGAGCCTGACACTTGGTAACAGCAATGGGAATTCAAGAGAAAAGGTGTTCCATGCAGGAAATAATGAACTTTTTGGTTAATCTCTAGCTCTTCCTTCCCATCTGCTGAAGCAATTTCCAGCTTTGATAATAGAACTTTTCAGCTTTTAAATTTCAAAATTTTAAAAACTTACTTGTTTCAAAAGACACATAGTTTTCTTTTACCGTTGTTACCGCTTCATTTCTTTTTTGGCATCTGCCATCCTGTTCTCATTCTTTGTTTGCTTTTCTAATTTAATTTTTAAATTTTATTTTCACTACTTTTGTGAACTTGTACATCCTGAGGAGGGTGGGTGTCTCCAAGTACATGGTGGGTCTCTTCATTGCGCAGCCTTGGTGATAAATAAAATCATGCCTTGACCATACCACTTTAGAGCAGTTTTCTTGTTTGCAATCAATGATCATGTCAATAAATAACATCACACTCCTGCTGACTTTGTCCTTTAGTAGAATTTCCTGTTGGATTACCTGAATGTTGCTTATATTCATCTGATACCATTATGTATTAAATTTGATTTTTTTTTTCCTGCTGTTCCTTTTACAGGCCAGGAACTTGCAACAGTAACCTACTTGGTAAGATGCTTTATTTTTATTTTATAAAGCAGAGCATTCTTAGCTGATGGTGCAAATCATATAAGCTGAGAAACTGAGCTGCAGATCATGAGGCTGGAAATGTCAGAAATGCAGAAATGTCATTGTTTTGTTTCCTTATTCCCATATAATTCTCTTGATATCTGATCTGGGTCACTGTCAAGGCAGTGAACATTTTGTCACATTTTGATGGGACTTTGTTCTGAGTCTGCTGGGCCACTCTAAAAAACTTGGCTTCTCCAAAGAAGCAGGAAAATGATTTTATTTGCTGAGGGTGTGTGGTGTGTCTGTAGCAATGGAGTGCTCAGGTAAGAGCAGAAGTCTTTGCTCTTCCAGGATTACTTCATCTCCACATCAGTGAATCTCCAGGAACAAGTCCACCGTGTTCAAAAGCTTCACCATATGCTGGAAATAATGGTCAGCTGTACAGGCTTACTGCAGTTCAGACATGAGAACCTCTTCCCTTTGACACAGTAATTATTTCATTTCTACTTTTGCTCTTTAAATGACAATCACAAATAGTTTGTTTGGCAGTTTTGAAGAAACACTAAAATGTTGGTGATAGTGAGACTGCAGAAGGAGCAGCTGGATCTTCCTACCAAATTTTGCTTTGGGACTAAAACTGAAAAACTAAAACTATAAACTAAAGGAAATTACAAAATGTCAGAGTATAGTTAATTTTGCACAAGATTTGTTCGCTGTTGTACAAGCATTTCTTGAAAGAAAGTAACCTGATGTCTCTTGTAGGATTTGCATGAAGTATTACAAGGAAAACCCTCTGAATGAGAAGCATGTGTTTCAGCTGCCCATCAGACCAGCTCTTGTGAAGAAATTCTATGAACAGTAAGAGAAACTTCAGTGTTTGCAGCATAAAATTCAGATGTGACTGAACACCTGACTCAATGTTGATGGTTTTTGATTATTCTCTCAGTGATAACCCTGAAGTCTGGAAGGTGGAGATAAGCAGTGGGCATGGACAGAAGGAGGTTAAAACAACGTGGCAAGTCAGTACCAATGCTCCTGTTGAACACGGGACATCAAACAATTCAGGTGGGGAATGTGGTGAGAAATAATCAAACCATAAACTTCAAACAAGTTCAGTTTTTATCCTGCATTCAGTGGGTCTGAGCTTTATATTTACTTCTTAGCAAAAGCAAAAGGATGTTTCACCTTTTACTAAAAGAGTGAGGTGGTATTTACAGAATTAAGGATACTCAGAAAGTGGTGACTTTTTGCCTTCTCACCTTGGCTGAGTTACATTTTTAGAGTTTAAATGACAGTATAGTTTCAAATAGGAGATGATTGATACCCGCAATATCTTGCACCTTATTTCAAAAATGTTTGCTACTGAAACTGAGAAGGGTTTTGAAGATAAATTTCTCTGTATTTAATGGTGGTCTCAAGTCAGAGAAGGTGAAAAGGAGAGGATCTGCCTTGCTGCAAGCCAATGCAGAACAAGAATGGGGAAGAATAAAGCAGAGAGACTGGTACAGAAATGCTTTGCCTTTTTGGCATGAGACTTGATGTGAGGGTTTGGTAAATCTTTCCTGTCACTGATTTTTGTCATGAAGTGCTTCAGTAAAACTGCACTTGAAAAACAGTTCTGGAAGCTGCTCCATGAACTAATCTCTACCTTCTAACAAGAGTGGCTAATGCCAACTTTTCCCTTTGTCCTTGCAGGTTTCTTGTCGGACTCCACAGTAAATGGAAGCAGTGAAGAAAGGCTGTATTTTATTACCATGACTCAGTGCAGTCAGTTGCAGTTCACTTAAGTTGATGTTACTGAGCAAGCAGGACTGGAAAGGTACAGGAAGGAGGAAAATTCGGTGTTTTCTGTCTTAACAGAACCTTTAGAAACTCTGGGCTTCAAACAGTTAATCTTCACTGATTTATTTGCTTTATTACACTTAAGTGGGACCTCATTTGTTAAAAATGCAGTGCAATTATGACTGTACAGTATAAATATTTTGTAAATATGGTGGATATTTTTCATATATTTACAGACATTCAACAAAGTTGTGCACTTTGGGGTTTCATATTTTATTTTCTGATCATTAAAAATGCAATCAAACACTGTTCAAAGTGTGAATTGTCTTAACCAACAAACCAAGCAATATTGTTATGTTCTTCTGGGATCAAGTGATGCTTCATCATCCTGAAGGATTTGGAAAGCTCTTCATCCAGGGCCTTGGGATCTTCAGCCAGTTTGGGTTTCTTTGTCCCTGTATTTATATTTTGCAGTATTCTTGAAAATACTTCTCTCTCCTCTTCAAATTAGTTTATTCCTTCAATGTGAAGTGAGTTATTTTAACAGTGTTGTTTTGTATGTTTTGCATAATTTTTTTAAAAAACAAAATCAGAATAATTGTTTGGACATAATCATTTAGATATGTTGGCAGTTGCATGTGTTAAGTTGATTAATCAGTGAGGTAACATTTTGGTGATCTGATTAAAGCAATTCCATAGTTTTGTTCATGCTGACTAAATAATCTGAGACAGAAATATTTCGCATTAAAAATGCGCATTAACTATGGATAAGTAAGAATAAGGAAAACCCCCAATATTCATGCTTTTAAAAACTATAAATTATAGATTATTATTGTGAATTTTTATAACTTCTGGTTTTAAGCAAAGCTGTATTTCAAGCACAGGCACCTGAATTGTGGAACCAAGTTGTTACAGTACTTGTTTCTACCTGCAGTAGAAGGGAATTTTAGGTGGAAAATTAATTTTGGAAGTACTTGGATTACTTAAATTCCACATTTTTTTGTGTAATATATTATAAAGTTTTAAAAGGTAAGTTTAAATTTCAGAGATGTGGTTTAAATCTGATTTAGAAATTGTCACCTTGGATTACTCACTTCAAACAACTCTTCATCACAACTAAATAGCAAGGAATGTATTATCCTAAATTGTAGACATGAATAAGTTCCCATTTAAGCAGTGCTCTTGGAGTATTTAAGTCCTTTTATATTTTAAAATCATGTCTGTCTTTCTTCAAATAGCAATTACAAGGTAATCAAAATGCTGTTGATGAACAGACTGAAATCAGAATTTGCAAGCAGCTTTTAATCACTTGAAATTTGTAAGATTTTAATCTCTTTACTCTTACCTATTTTTCTGATGAACAAAATATGTAATAGTTTGCAAAATAATAAGGATTGTAAAATCTACTACTTAGAATCAGTGGAAAGAGAATGTATTTTGGTAAAAACAAAGAAATGTTTTGGGAATTGAATAGAAAAACTATAAAAGCTCTAGGTGGATTGATAAATACTATTTCATTATAGGGGTATAAAAAGAACCATCTGTGGTAATTTTTAACTACTCAAATAAAGCAGCTGCAGCTTAGTCCTTTTGGCAAATGATGATGTGTGCAAACATCAATTTTAGCTGTGGTTTCGAAGGTAGAATATGAGGAGGACAATACTGATGAGAATGCAGAGTGTGAAAACTGTAGGAAGAACAATCTCTGTCACCATTTCCATGTGAGTAATCAGGGAATCTAAAATTTGAGAAATGAGGAATATGTAAGAGATTTAATCCCCTGGAGTACAGTAATACCTAACTTAGAGTTAACATAAAGATTTTTTTTGAACATAAAAATGTTGACACTGGCATAAACAGCAAACAAAGCAAACAGAATTTCCTAAGTCTGCAGATACTGGAGCAAATCCATGATAGTTTTCCCTCTCTTTTTCTTTTGAAGTTAAATTTCTGAAGATATGTCAGTGGTCAAAGGGCTGCAGAAATTGTCCTTGCTGTGAATTAGCTGCAGTGCATTAACAATAAATTACTGGTCCTCTGATATTTATTTCCCTCACTTCAAGGTGAAAGAGATTTGCCAAAGAGAAATCCTTAGGAAGCTTTGCCTTTTTATGATTGCTCTCTATCTACGTGAAAAATTAAATGGGTTTTATTTTGTAGAACTTTATTCCACAGAGAAACCTGGAAGAGCTCAGTAAACCCACTTCATTCACACTGAACATGACCTGGAAGTGGAGGCTGAGCAAGATTAACCTAAATTGACTGCTGGGATGTTTGCTACCATGTGGAATTTAGCTCATTTTTAAAAAAATCTATAGTAGTTATTTGATCTTAATAAAATCCCTACTTCAGGAATTCTGAAAGTCCTGAATTACACCAGGAGGTTTTTTAGGTGTTCTGGCTCAGTTGTGTTGGGGTTTCTTTGTTACCTGGAGCAT